CTTTTATAGATCACGTGATTGAAGATAGTATATAAATATATATATGATGATTCACTCTAGGAAATTTGGATAAAATGACAAGTTTAATATTTAAATTTGCTAAACAAGAGTAGAAATAGATAATGGAGTATTAGATACTCAATTAATGCCAGGTCTGTTTAAGACTGGTTTATGACTGTTTATAACTGCTCTAATTTAAGATTACTATCTGCAGTTGTAAAGATTAAAATTAAAATTACTGGGAACTGTAAAGGTCATTTTTAAGGCTTTATTTCATATTTGTCATAGTGGGTCAAGCCACATTAAGCCCAAGAATGCCTAGCCTATAGAGTGTTAATGTATTGGCATTTCACAGTTTGCATGGTTTTGGAGAAAACTAGGATGTTATTACCTGTCTGTGCTAATTAACTTTTTCACCTATTTAGATATATGAAAGCACTCAATGAGTTACATTTTAATGAATACCACTTTCAGTATTGACTTCATCAAATTGAAACAAATATTAAGGCATTTTAATAACTTAAATTTAATGATTTAATCAGAATACCTTAGAAATATTATTGATACTGCTTTTTACACAGGAGAACACAAAGTTATACCTCAATTTACTTGAAATGGAATATAGTGGTGACCTCAAACAAAATGAAGAAAATATCCTAAACTGTTTTGACAAGGCTATACATGGTTCATTACCTATTAAAATGAGAATTACATTTTCTCAACGAAAAGTGGAATTTCTTGAAGATTTTGGTTCCGATGTTAATAAGTAAGATTTTAATTATTTACTATCTGTTTGAATAGAAAATGAGTATTGATAATTTTGGACAGCAATTGATGATTAGTACAAACTAATAATGCATTCTTAAATTTAAAAATGTCTTAGTTTTCCCTCAGATACATGCGAGTGCATTCAGTTTTGTAAATGCATTTCTTTAACAGGAGCACATATGGTTGTTTTCCCTTCAAAATGGTTCTCCAAATTTGCAGGTGATAAAATAAATTGATTGGATCAGAAAATGCAGGAAGCAATAATCTCAAAATTTTAAGGCTTGAACTTTGAAACACGGAAACATTTAAATTGATCTTGAAGGATAGATGGAGTTAATCTGGATTAGGAATGTTTTATCTCAGATTGGAGAAAAGGGTGGATGAGTTTCTGTAAATTGTGTGTAATGGCCTCACCCTTCATGTATTATAAAAGGCAGAAAGGTGAGGGTGGTAGAACAGTTCACTGTAGGAGATTTGGGAAAAACCGTAAGTTTAATTTTGCTGAAGAAGAGTAGAACTAGAGATTAGTGTATTACTGCCATTTTTGTCTTACCTGATTATAGTGAGGAAACATCCCAGCTCACTCTAGGAGATTTGGGAAAATCATAAGTTTAAATTTGCTAAACAAGAGTAGAAAGAGAGATTAGAGTATTACTGCCATTTTACCTGATTATATTAAGGAAATATCCCAGTGCCTATTAAACACATGCCATCTCTAATTTTCTAATTTAGAGTGATTTTCATTGAAACAGCTGTTGATGGAAGAATTACTTGTGTATGTTTTATGTTTGCATATATTTTTGATGGCTGAGTAAAATTAGTTAAGCTAATAAAATATTACACTATTAAATACTACTATTTGGCATCATGTCAGATGTTTTATATGCATTATCTAATGTAAGGATGTATGTCTAATGAGGAGTGTAGGTAATGTTCTTATAATAAAAAGAGGCTTGAAGTGAGATTAGGCATTTTTTCCAAGGTCACTTAGCTATTATTGTGCTGTGTGACTAGGATTAGAATCTACTTCTTTCTCTAAGTTAGGAGAAGTGTAGTGTTGATTGTGCTGTGCCTTGAAAGCTAGACTGAGTTCAGAGCACAGATAGTCCACAGTTGTCAGTGGGAAATAGAGTTTTGGTTGAGATTAAGGGGTGTATTTTAATTTGGTATAGAGGTTCTGAGTACCAGGTCTAAGATTGTTGTAGCTGAAATTAAAAAAAGTGACATGAAAAGTAAATGAGCCACTTAAGAAATTTAGGTAACAGTGTAGTTATATACTAAGAATTAATGTTAAAGTCAAGAAAATAGAGATTTAAATCCTAGCTCCATCACTATTTGTGTATTCCTATTTTCCAGTTTTCCCAAAGATTCTTTTATCCACTAAACCAGTGGTTATAAAAGATCTTGAGGAAATTAGTCCACTTGAAGTGCTTGATATCAAGTAAACCAGAGACTACCGGCACTAATAATTTGAAATAGAATTTTGGGACTAATGTTACTAGTAATTCTGCTCAGGGAGGGTGTACATGCATGTAAAGTATCATGGTCATTATTAAGGCTATTTCTAAAAATTGGTAATTATTTGGCTTTGGGTTTATGATTGCCTGAAGTTAATCACCCTTTATTAATTAAAAAACTAAGGTAATCTTTGTTTTTATAAAAAGTATTTCAGAAAATGGTAAAAGGAATACAATCATGATTTTTAATGTCACACTTAGGATTCAAGTGACATTGCTTTGAAGTTGTAAGTTCCTGGTGAGACTGACAATACATGTCATTTTGAAATTTTCTTACTAAACATTATCTTTTTAATCAAAGACAATTAACTACATGAGTTTTACATTAGTTGTAATTCATTTTATCACATGACCACAATTTTAATCTAACTGTTGGCAGGGTCTTCTATCAACACTGTAAAATTAGGTCTTAAAAGTGTATAAATTATAGAACTGTGAAGATTTGTGGGTGCACTGAAACAAAAATACATCATTGTCTTAGTTTTTTATTTTTTGCATAGAAGAACTGGGCTATAGGCCAGACGTGCAGGGGGGTGAGAAAATTCACCAGAGACAGATTAGGAAATAGGCCAAGTGGATTTACTAAAATATACTGCTAAGGGGGCAGCAGGCGACAGGGGCAAGGTTTTCTGTGCTATATGTGGATTGGCTCCCTGGCCGGGATCTAACTCTGGTCTTAGCAGTGATAGCGCAGAGACTTAACCCCTAGGTCACCAGGGAGGCCCCATCACTCACTGTCTTAGTTCTGATAGCTAAGGCAGACAGACTCTCTCCGAGACGTATTGGATATGACAGACAGATAGCTCCTGGCCAATATGCCATGAGTTTTGCCCAGTTGTACTGTTGAGAAAGACACTTTTCTGGTAGCTCAAAAGTCTTGGGGATGCACCAGACATTGTGGTTTTGGTTATATGTACACCCCTAAACCGACATTGCCAGGACCCATACTTTAATTGGCCAGGCTTGTGTCCCTGAAACCCCACTGGACTACATGGACTGTGAGACGTACAGGGCAGTGATTTCCCAAAGAAAAAAGTTAGAAAAGATAGCTGTGGACAGGTTTGCCTGTTGGTTCATTAAAAAAAAAAAGGGGGGCCTCCCTGGTGGTGCAAGGGGTTGGGACACAGCACCATGAAGCTATCCGCAGCCGCTGCAGTATGAATTCGATCCCCAGCCAGGGGGGTGACCTACATGGCGCAGTGGACCTCTCCTGGCTCACCTGCTGCTCCTGATGAATCCTCCCCCCCATATCTGGCCTGCACCCCCACTCTTATAAGCATAGATAAATCTTTAAAAATAAATAAATAAAATGAATATTCATAGCATCACGCTTTTGTTTCCCTAAGTGGTAATAACATAAAGTTGAGTCTGATTTTTGTGTATTTAAGAGGGTTTTTTTCCCTTCCCTCTCAGGCTTCTGAATGCTTATGATGAACATCAAACACTCTTAAAAGAACAGGATTCTTTAAAACGGAAAGCAGAAAATGGGTATGTATCTTCTTGCTGAATCAGCAACAGATGTGTAAAAGACATGTTGTGAAAATGCCTTAAAAGACATTTTTGTCTTTATGTACATCAGCCATTTGTTACAGTACTTATCTGTAGGAGTTTTGAAAGTTTCCATTTTCATCTTTTATTTAGATCAGAAGAACCAGAGGAAAAGAAAGCACACACAGAAGATACAACTTCATCATCTGCACAGATGATTGATGGTGATTTGCAGGCAAATCAAGCTGCATACAATTATAGTGCCTGGTATCAAGTGAGTTCACATAATTTGCATTGAATTTTCTTGTTTCTAGATGTTTTTAGAAGGATAAATTACTATAGGCCTTTTATTTATTTATTTTTTTTGGCGGGGAGTGGGTAGAAAAAAATGGATTCCAGATTGTATATTATCTTTTGTGGCTATGTCTTAACAATGTTAGCAGTGAAAACATGCCTATTTTAGTGTAAGTACCTTGCTTTAATGGTATTTTTACTTATGGACTCAGTCATAGTTCTGGTATGCTAACATTTTGCCTTTTTCTTTCAGTACAATTATCAGAATCCTTGGAATTATGGACAGTATTATCCTCCCCCTCCAACCTGATGGAAAAAAATGTAAATCAAATGGAATGTGTGAAAAGTATGAAATTATTTTTTTTTTAATGAGGGATGTGAACATGGCATACGCTAGTGGTATTTGATAACTTGTCTTCCGTTTCTGTGTAACATGATTTATTAGTAATGAGGAAAAATATTACTTAGTAGCTTACCACAGATACTATTTCCTACCATTTGTAAAATTTACTTTTTATTGGAGAACTATTTTTTTGATTTTTGCATTAAGTGGTCTAGAATTCTTTTGCAGTGCATTTTCAACAGTTTTGTAGCCTTAAGGGTAGGAAAAAACCTGACGCAAATCATGTCAGTGTAGTACAAGATTCTGAAAACGTAAGGGCTGGTTATTAAGGATTTACCTCCTCTTGGGGGTAGGGGGGAAACCATACAAATTTTTAAACTTTGCTGACAAGATTTTGTCTGCGTGTTTCAGTTATCCATGTGAAATTGGATCTGAGAAAAGACACCCTATTAAATACTATGTCTTGGAACAGACTATAAACCAGGAAATGGAATGTTTGCATCCCTTTAAAAAATGAAAATCATATTAAAAGTATGTTGTTGCTGGAGACTTTGTATTTAGAATATTCATGTAAAACTTGTAAGCTTTCATGTTGATCAGACCTGATCACCTTCATTTTTGTAATAAAACTGAAGACTCATCCACTAATTGTTATGAATTTATTTGGGGGGTCATCAAATAATAACTTTATATTCACCATAAATTCATTGATTGGGTTCACTGGCTTGGAAGTGTATTTTTCTTGAATTCAGACATTATCCTGCCAAATTTTATAGACCAAAGCTTTCTGCTTCATCTCAGCTGCTATCCTTTGCCTCCGCTACATAGGAATATTTACTTTAAAAGATAATGAACATCCTTGGCAAAGTGGTCCAGACAATTTTACTGTGAGTTATTCCTTGCTTTGATGAAGTCATAGTCCTAGTTTTTGTAATCAGAATGTTAATATTAACACCAAACAAATCAACACATTAGATGCATTTTTATTAGAGCCTTTTTAGTGTACAACATGAGGTAACAGGAAAATCATTTCTCCTTAACCAGTACTTCACACACCTGTAGTAAAATATTTTAGACTTAAGGGATTTATAAGGGATTACAATTCTTAAAAGTTGGGGATCAAGTAAACAAGTTCTAACTTCTTGAATATTCTAGTTGACTCCTTAAAACAGTAACCAGCTCTAACTAGTAACCTAAATTTCTTCAAGGCCATATTTTATTGTCACTTATGTCTTTAGATCTGAAGCACGCTATTTCAATCAATATCCACTAATTCCACTTCAAAGATGAGTTTTGCATTTGGTGGAATTCTGTTTAAGAAGTTAAGGTGTAAATTTGATTAAAAATTTCTTCTCCTAATTCCCAATGACCTTAAATCTAAAATTAAAGTATGTAAACTGAATACTGATAATAAACACCAATAGAAAGGACTTTGATTCAGAGGCTAATACATACAGCCTAAAGTTTCTAAAACATTATTTTTGTGAATGGAGCTCATGCATAGAGTCATTAGATAAACTGAACTTGAACTAGCATCTTCCTTATCTGGATGCCTCACAATTACTCCCAAATTAGTAATCACTTAATGAAGATTGCTAACTTAGTACACATAAAAAATTACTTAGCTGGGTATATACAGTACTACATTAAATTTCATATTAAGTAAATTTCATATGAAGTAGTGTATACTTGCTGTGCCTTTTAAGATGTTGAGTTTAGAGAAGAGTGGTTTTATCTGATTTGTCTTGAGATGCTTCACGAGAGGGAGCTATAGTTGCCCATGTAATTTTCATAGGTTAAAAGGGTGTATTATATTCCCAAGATAAAGACTAGAGGGAGATTACCAGTTTTTAAAAAAATCTATATTCTAATTGGTCCAGCTAGTTCAATGGGAATGAACCAACAAAACTACGTTCTCACTATAAGTATTGTCACTAGGCATAATTACAAACGCTATACTATGTTGGATCTGTGGTGTTTATTTCACAACTCATTTGGTATCTAGTTGCCTAAAGTTACACTATAGCACAAAATTACCAGAAGCCATAATTGCATCCTATAATTTGCTACAATTATTTACATTTAGGCATGTTACATTCTTTATAGTACACTTCAAATATTATAAAATTTCAAATATGAAACAATATAGTTTAAGTCTTGAAAATTAAGAGCTTGGATAAGAATTTGAAAATAAGTAGATTCCAGCTCAAGTCTGAATACTTTGTGCCAATAGAAAGTGTCTATATTGGAGGAATTGTCACAAAAGCATCTAAATATTTCGAAGACTGGTCAGGACAGAATTAATTACTGATTTGGTGGTTACCCTAGACAGTGTCTTTCATAGCTTCAGATGATTTTTCTTAGTGTTAAATTATGAAGGAAAAAAGGATACTTGGCATCGGGTTGTCCTTTCTTTCCATAAGCCCATTCTGGTTCAATTTCCAGTCGAGCCTTTTCTCCTTTACTCATAGTCAAGAGTGCTTCATCCCACTAAAGGGCAAGAACATAAAATCAAAACTAATGATATTTCACACACAAAAAAAGGCAAAACCGTAAGACATGCTAGATTTTATGCAAAAAAAATTATTGGATTTCACTATGTATTGTCCTTAGCTGAGTCCCTAAATATCAGTCCATTTCTGGGTTAAAAAAAAAAAAAAAGAGGCTATATTGAAATAGAATCTGAGAAAAGATACATTATTAAATACTATGTCTTACAATAAACTATAGATGAGAAAATGGAATGTTTGCATTCCTCAAATGATACAATGTGAAAGCACTTTTGTAAACTGTTACATCATATAATATAGAAACCAGTTGGTTATTACCACTATTATAAGAAATCTGCTGCACTTTTCTATTAGAGGAAAAACTTCTGAATTTATAGTTTATAGCAATAAACTAACAAATACTCCAAAACTGTCTTAAGATTACCAAATTGTAGTAATGAAGTCACTATGGTACATAAAATTAGCTACATGTTGGAGTGTTAAGATCTTGCAGAAGAGAAAAGAAAATGTCCAAAGAAAAGTTATGTTTCTGGATTGCTGCTCTACTTTGTCAAAATTGAGATCTTAAAGCCAGTTACCCAAAATGGCTAACTCAACATAAAGCAAGGATGCAGTATTGACTAGAAGACATTTACCTAGTAAGCAAATTAGTTCTGCAAATAGAAAAATAGCTCAACTTGATATACAGCTACCATACTTGGAATAATCATATATTAGCAGTTAAGATTATTCTCGGCTAAGCTTAGTTTCAAGATGTTCTGTATTCTACTCTGGGCTCTGATATAACGGAGTCACATTTAGGAGATACCCAGAGCACAAAGAATAAGCTGGCTACAGCGTGAAAATCTGGGTACAGGTGATAATCGTTCCCTTCTGCTCTTACATGTAAGTCTGGGTAAAACCATGTTTGCTTGAAAGATTTTCTGGGGTTTGGATCTAGACTACAAAAATTGAGAAAGCTACAAGAACAAACTTCTATTTCTATCTGTACATCAATGAAACAATTATTTTACCTTTTTTGATGCTATATAAATGGTACAACAGCTATAACATTTTATAAGAACTTTAAAGTTAGAAAGCCCAACATTCTCACAAAGAATTACTTTAGGAACAAATATAAGAGGCATAAGTCAGGGAAGGAAGATATTTGAGTCCCTATTCTATTACATGCTTTAATTACGCTAATTTAATCTGTGAAGTAGTTTATAGTCCCCATTTTTTAAATGGGGAAACAGAAAACCAGAGATCTAAACGTACCAGATCAGGAAGCAATGATAGCATCTTATTTGTCAAGACTCCAAAGATTTTTTTTTTTTTTCCATAATATCCCCAATCCTAATTATGGCACCATACCATATGTAGCATGTGCCAGAAAGTCTATTGATGTATTGCCGTTCTCTACTTACTCCTCTGATAACTTTGCCTATTCCAACCTTAAAACTTAAAGGCTTGGCACTTTTCTTCTTCTTTGAACCTGTAAAACAGATTTTCCTTATAATTAATGATGACATTAAGTTGAAATGGAGAAAGTGTTTTAAATATTTAAATTGTTTTCAGGTTTTACCATATGATGTGCATATGAAAAGAAACAAATTCAGAAAGCTGGGCAAATTTTCAAGAAAATTCTGGATGTAAAAACAATTATGACCTAAACAGTGGAGAGGAAAAGGACCAAGAAAATAGCTCACTGTTCTGCCTTTCTCATTAAATACTTTGAGGCATTAACCAAACAAGTTTAGACTAAGCTTTACTTTTTGCATCCCAATGACCAAGAGATCTTCATTTGCCCAGTCAATAAGTAGTGAACTGAAGACCTCTTTCAAGTAAATCAGAGGTGCCAACTACTTCTGGAAAAACGTGACAGCCAAGAAAGAGTTGCTGCCAACCACTCTTTTATCATATAAATATTTTGCAATGCATTAAAGCCAGAAATGTAAGATTACATTTAGACTTACTGGTTTGAATATTAGTATCAAAAATAGTGCCGTCCTGTAGAGTTCCTGTATACCAGCAATGAACAACATCTCCCTTTTTGGGGAAGTTGGTTTTATCTCCTTTTTTAAGAATGGATTTTGTATATTTTGGTGGACCCTTAAACAAAACACATATAGGTAGTTATTAATTCATGTCTTTTAGCAGGATGACAGAATACTTAAAGAGCCAACTGTGACTTAAGTCTGGTCACAGAATTTTATAGATTTACTAATAAACTATTTTGTCTTTACCTCTGAGTTAATAATCACTTTCATTTCAAGTCTTTGATGTGAATATTAATAACTAGCATATCTATAATTTTAAATACCTTCCACCTTTAGAAACCATGCTCTATTGAAAAGACTCTTATACTGGTTTCAATAAACTAGAAAATGAATCTACTTACTCCAAGGTTAGAAACAGCTTTAATTTAATTTAATTTCTAAAAAGTCATAAAGGCATTAAAAAAAGCATTGTGACATGCTTTTCAAAGATTTGAGTTGTTCTGGCACCAATAATTTACTAAGATTTGTTATTATATCCAATTAGAATGACTGTAGTACTGCTGTGTTCGTTCCTGAACTTAAAAATAAATTCACAAAATTAATAAAATTATGGAAATTACTGTAATAGCAGTTTTTCTAAAACAAGTTTATCAGAATCAAAAAAAAGCTAAAGGTTAAATAAGTGGTGATTCAAATATGTGAGAAAAGCAATTTCTTAGTCAAACTTATATAGAATTTTACACTATAGGACATATAATAATGGGGAAGGAAAAAGATATTAAACACCTATTACTTGCTAATCACTTAACACAATTAATCCTAACAATCCTCTGAAGAAGGTATCACCTATATTCATTTTTACAGATGAAGAGACTGAGCTTTAGATAATTTATGCAACAAAGCTAATGAGTAGTGGAGAATAATATGGACTTGGGTTTGTCTCACTCTAAAGCTCTTGTTCTTCCTCCCACTATATTATACTAAAACATCTTAAATAACAGTGATAAATAGTATATGCATTGATATTAATAGTTAAAATAATTAACATCTACTGAGTGTCACTTATCTTCCTGTATTGGGCACTTAACTCCAAATGCTTTGCATGAATTAATTATCCCTAACTTATGGAGTAGATACTGTTATTCTTCTTTTACAGATAAGGAAACAGATAAAGTGGTTATATAATATAAAAGGTCCTACTGTGTCAAAAAGGCTGAGCAGGATTTTTTCTAACTATCAATTCATAATCACAGCAACCTGGCAGTTTTTCCTCCATCTTTTATACGGTAAATAAAACTGGGATAAGGTACATAGCCCTAACCAATTCAGACTCTCGGGTTAGCAATTTGAAACGAGGCTGCTTCCCCAAATCACAAGAAAGTCACATCTACAGGTTGAGCACAATGTGGACTACAAAGGAAGACACTAACTTTCTGACATATTTTAAGCATGTTTTAGTGAGAAATTCTGCTACTAATGGTCAGCCTTCTACTAGTACCAGTGTAAACTAGTGCTGCCTTTTTAGAATGCAATTTAAATATGTTAAAAACAAGATAATAATTCTACTTATACAAATACAATATATGCTTATGAAATAATTTGAATCTTAGGGAAGAAATCTTTATGTAGTTATTCAGTACATGAGTATTCATTATGGTAAAATAACCACATGAAAAAATTATGACATCTAATTTGCAGTAAAATCTCAATTTAAATATACAAATTAAAAATATTCAAAGAATACATTCTGAAATATTAAAATGTTCATTATGGGTGTTAAAACAGGTGTTCTTTATCCTTTTGTTTTCAATTTTTAAAAATAGTGTATTATTTTATATCAGAAAAATAAATGGCTTTTGAAGTTAAGAATAAAAACAAGGGGAAAAAACCTCAAAAGCCAATTTAAAAAGATAAAAAACACAGTTGACAAAAAAATGTAAAAGCCACAAAATGACTATATCACATATGAATATTAGAGTACCTTAAGACTATTAAAGGAATTATATGTGAGCATTTGACTGGATAACATGTTAGTTAATAACCATATATTTTTCTGCTTTTTCTTTTTAATTAATTATATATATTGAAAATCATTGTTCATTTTTATTATTTTTTTTATTTTTTAAAGATTTATTTATTTATTTATTTATACAAGCACTGGGTATATAGTCAGAAGCGCGGGAGGGTGAGAGAATTCACCAGAGCCAGAGTGGGGAGCAGAGCAGGCAGAAGGACCAAAGTACACTGCTGAGGGGAGCAGCGGGCCACAGGAGAGGTCTGCGTGCCATGCGGGACCCTCCTCCAGTGGCCAGGGAGCAGCCAGGGATCAAACCCGTGCTGCAGGGGCTACGGGCAGCTTCACAACCCAGCGCTCAACCGATGCGCCACCGGGGAGGCCCCACTGTTCACTTTTAAACAATATTTGCACCCCTCCTAGTTACAGTCCCCTTCGAATTTCCTGCACCAATTTACCTGTGCACCATCACTACCGTAACCACATTTTAAATCTTAGAATCATTTTGTTGTTTCCCCATCTCCTGTCCCAAATTGCTTGGGTATGTGCTAATTCACAGTAGTCTCAGAATAATGCAAAGACACATTAAATTGCTGGGTGTGGTTCAGTCTTAATGGTGAAGGTGCCAACTTGCCTACTGATGGCTTCCATTTTCAGTGTTTCATTAAGTATCTCTTATGCACCATTCATTCCTTGGCATTGTTAACACTGTTTTATATGAAGACGAGGTCTAACTTAAGTTTGGGAAATAGTAGCTTACAGTTATATGTGCCTCTACTCTGCATGACTTCTCAGAGCTGTTGCCAGCCAACATGCAGTGTGAACATTCAAGTAGGAGTCATAGGGTACAGGTTTTGATGATACCAAGAAACAACCTGGAACTTCTTGGGACCTATACGGGCACATAAATTTTGCTCTGATTATTTGATCTCATTTTGGATTTCATTTCAAGAGCCTGACTGGTTTAGGATGTTAGGTCTATCAGTCTCAAGGTTGCCTATCTTGGCGTTACATGTTTGAATGGACTTCATTTTTAGGTAATTTCCTGGCTTTGCAGTAATTTCTTAGTTCAAAGTGATGAAAAGAACTACATTCCCAAGATTGGGTCTGAAATAGATAATTCTAGCATCAGAGATAAAGGGACTTTATGTGAAGTAATCATTACAATTGGAATTAAGTAGGTAACATTATAGCTTCTAAAAATACTTATGTATTTAAGCCTTTTAAAGAAATATTTGAGCATGTTCTGTGTTTAAAAATGGGGACACATAGGTGAACTGGCACACACAGTTCTTGCTCTCTACTGGAGCATACAGACATGTATAATTACATACATCATGGGACACATGCACAAGATGTTAAGCTGGGAATAACACAGTGACCTAACCCAGAATAGACTGTAGGCTGGGAGTGGTTTCTCTGAAGTAATGTTTAAGTTGTATCCAGAAGGATAAGAGATGGTTCAGAACACAGAACAGCATTTTTATAGGGAAGAGGAGCATGAAAATACTACATTCTGCAAAGGAAGAATAAAGGAGAGAATGGTATGAGGTTTGGAAGACATAGCACATACTAAGAATTTCAGTTTTGGGGGCCTCCCTGGTGGGGCAAGGGGTTAAGCATCAGCACTACGAAGCAATCTGCAGGGAGCTAACCCACATGGCTCAGCAGACCCTCTGCTCCCCTCTGCAGTGTATTTCAGTCAATCCACTTGTTCTGTTCCTCACTCTCTCTCTGGTGAATCCTCTCCCTCCTTCCCCGGCTGCCCCCAACACCTCTGGCCTACACCCCAGCTCTTGTATGCATAAATAAATAAATCTTAAAAAAAAAAAAAGAATTTCAGTTATTATCTTCAGGTCACTGGGCAGACAATTAAGAATTGTTTAAACAGAAGTTGGATCAGATTTGTGTTTTGTACTGTGTGAAACGGATGAAGAATCAAAAGTGAACATGAGGATACTTATCAGGAAGAGTTACTGTAGTAATTCAGGTGTATACTAGGGTGCTAACAGTGAGGATGACAAAAGGCGAATGGCTTTAAGATCAATTTATGCAGAGCCAACAAAATTTTGTGATGATTAAATGTGAAGGAGTTATAAAGGATGAATGTCAAGTTTTTGTCTAGAGTACAGTAACTTATGATTACTAAGTTCCTGCCCCCAACTTACACTTTTCTCTTATCTTGGTATTTACTCATACCTGAAAATTTTTAGCAACATCATTTAAAGCACAATAGATATACTGACTATTGCTGATTTATATATAAAGTCCAGTAAGAGTGATAAAGTTATTTATGTTAAGATAAATATCATTTCCATATGCCATAGTAAGTTATGCAATTAAGTATATGGTTAAGTATGGGATAGTAAAATCTCAGGGGAATCAATGGGTTTATGACCTGGGCTTAAAAGGGGACAAAGAACTACCAAATAGGAAATTTAAGAGGAAAGACACACTAAAGAAGTATAGAAGTGTGACAAGGTATTGTTTAGTATACAATGAGCAGATATTTGTGGATGGAGAATAATGCTTCTATAGAATTACTGAAAATGGAACTAGTCAGGGGCCATATTTCAGAAAGCTCTGAATGCCTATAGTGCTGTCTAACAGAAATGTAATGAGAATCAAAAAATGTAATTTTAGGTTGTCTACATGCCACACTTAACTGATTAATTCAAAATAATATTTCAAAATTTAATATTATAAAAAGTATTTTACAATCCTTAAAAAAATCATACAAAGTTTGAAACTGAGTTCCTATTTTGTACTGAAAGCACGTATTCGGAGTCGCCACAAAATGTTCAACAGTCACATACGGCTACTGACTATTATGCGGACAGGTGGTTTTAGATAATTAAGGATTACTGAAGACTTTTAAGCAGGGTATGGTCTGCAAAATA